GTGAGCTATAATATATTGTTGTATCAGTTTGTGATCATGAGGTGCAGATTTTCCCCACAACATGTCAACAAATGGCAGTTCGAGATATGAGCGACAATGTGGATGAGGGATATGATTATATGAGCATTTGGTGTTAATTGAGTTTTAACTTATAATTCTATCTTTGTTAACAATATAAATCACAATATTTATTTTTCAAATGTTGACTGATGGATTTTTGTTGAAAGAGGCTTTCTTTGTTCTATGATGATGATATGTTGATCATTGTTTCGGATTATATCGAAATTTGTTTAAAGCTTTTATCCGTAAAGCATGCTAGCGATGTGCACATGCTTGTATTTGGTTAACTTGCTGCTTTATTTGAGAATTGAGATTGATAAAAGTTGTAGTTCAACTATGGTGAAGAGTTTCTGCAAGCTGAATGAGTTGGAGAGGGGTTTTGGATTTTTGTGTCTGTTTTAGATTTTCACTAACTTGTAATGTCCCTTCAGGTGGTCTCAGTTTCTAGATTTTTTGTCAACGAAAACCATTAATATGATCTTATTTTGCAAGAACTGTTAGTACAGATTGCAAAAATTTATAATCATTGCCTTGTAACTTTACAGTAGCAAACAGAAAAGATGTATTAAAGCAATTGATCCCATAACTAACTATGATGTGGTTTTATAATCATCATGTTAAAATTAGTATAATGTGACCAATGAAATATTAGAACTTACAAAGATTTCTCTACTCTTAATGGTAAAACATTAGTATAATGGTTAATTCACCAAAGCTTCACATTTCAGCAAAATAAATTTTAAAAAGAATATATAAGATGGCAATGAAATAACCATATCCTCTCTACTTTACAGATTGGATGATTTGTGATTCCCATTTCCTCTACACTGCACTCATGCAGCACCTCACCAAGCAGAAAACCAAGAAGATGCTCGAAAAAACACCGTTGCAATTCATATACCTAATCTTGTATAAATATAAGGAAGTTTACAAACGAAACCCAAACAAATACAAAAATCTACATAAAAAAATGGCGGGTTGTGGGGATCCACCCGACGAACCAGTGGCGGCGAGCCCACCAGCTCCACTCCAGTGATGGTTCATAGGTGATTAACCAACACTTACAAAATGATACAACAATGTATAGATCACGACACATGATCACATACGAAACAACGAAAATCTGTGCCTCATGATGACTCCGACGAATGTAGAGATCTCCCATTGGCAGCAAGGGAGAGACAGAAGGCTTATTACTAATAATATCATCATCAAAGTCCCTAGCCAGAGCCCTCAGCTGAAACTTTGTACTTTACCGGTAGACGTCTTGGAAAGCTCTTACACAAACACCACCTTCCTCAACAACATGAACCCCGTCTGCCTATCAATACAATGCGGTACCATATCCGCCTCGTCCACCCCCTTCCGCAGCACCACGAACTTGCACAGACTCTCCACCCACCTTGTGTGCGGCACCGCCAGGTACCCATACAACACCGCTTCCACCTCCACGCTGCTCATGTTCTCCTCTCTCGATATTATCACGTCCTTGCACCGGTCCTTGATTTTCAAGTACCCATTTCGTGTGGACTAGCCCCCACGTCCCCTGTGCATCCACCCGCCCCTCCTCCGAAGGCCGCCCGCGTGGCACCCTCGTCCTTCAGGTACCCTTCATGACCCGCTCCCCTCACCACGACCTAACCAAAAGCCAGATACTTCTTTTGTTTGAGGTTATAAGTTATGAAAAAAGAGTATATAAGTTAGGGGAAAAAATTGGAGAAGCACCGTTTGGTCCTCTCCGATGCCCACTTTTGGATCACGTCCCGTAAATGGCAAAAAATCGTGATATTTGATCCTCACACCTGCTATCGCAGGTAACCTTCACCGGCTAGCCTACGTGGAATTTTTACTTTTTTTTTTCGCTGAGTTGTATAATTACTGGCATATTTAAAAAAAGATGGAAAAGTGAAGAGAAAGGGATTCGAACCTGGGATGTCGAGGATTCAAAATGGGCTTATGATCCACTTGGCCTACGACAACTTATGTTAAAATCTTGACTTCACTTATATATCAACTAAGAATGTTTTATAAAAAAAAATTATATATATGTTCAACTTATAATACTTTTAATTATAATCCAAATTTATTTATTAAATATGTATTACTTACGAAATTAAAATATGTAAACTAAATAAATAATATTATATTATATATTTAATTACCTTGTTTAGTTAAATTTTTGTTATCATCAATGTTGTTTTTTATACTAATTTATATTACTAAACTTTAATTTTTTGTTTATATATTAAATAAATAGCTACTAAATAAATAATACGATTCTATATTACTATATTTAAATGAATATATATATATATATATATATATATATTAAAAATTATATTTCGTATTTAAATAACTAAATAACAATTAAAGGCTATTGATAATAAACTAATATATTAAATAAATAATTACTCAATAAATTTATTTAATTAAATATTTC